AAAAACGTCATAGTATCCGTTTAGCACCCGTTCACGGCATAATATGCACTGTGTACTCATAAAAAATGACGGGGCTGTGGGTTCTTTAGTTCAATTATTCAGGGGCTTGCTTAACTACAAAATCTAAAACCAACCATGTCTGAAAAAATTTGCCTCATCGCGAAATCTACCGGTTTTAACATATAAATCGTAGGCACATTTTTATTCAATAACAGTTGCACAGACATCTCAAGCTAATTAAAACAACCGGCGTTTGCTTGGCGACTGGTTTTTCAGTGGGACCTACACTTTCCCCGGGCAAAGGCTTTCTTTTTAAAAACAACTCTCAGTACTATGGACAAATCTTTACGCGTTAGACACTTAGTTAAGATAAGGTGTTCATATCAGAAACAGGTTGCTTACAGAACAAGCTAAAGAGATAAATATTACGCAGGCCTTTTGGTTTTTCGTGAACGTGTATCAAGTTAACTCTCCAGTGTCTGAAACAGATAAAAAATGAACAGATCTTAGTCTCTACTGCAATTTGAGTCCTGCTCACTTCATCAACGCTAACAATAGTGCACTGGATCTCCTCAAATTCAGCCTAAAGATACATGATATTATGGAATGGATCCGACAAATCAAGGGGAGACCGGAATGGCCATTTTAGCTTATAAGCCGTCATCAGCTAGTCATACCCAATTTCAGGTGTGGACCTTTGGTCAATGAGTTTACCAATATACCATGGCACTACGGGCTCCATGCTTTATCGAGTTATTCAGCTATGCGGTCACGCCGCCAGGTAAAGAGTATAAAGTCCATGTTACGAAATTTCGGCCGATTCTTCATTGTGGTAGAATATAAACGAAACCACTTAATAACTTTTTTTCTGTTCCGAAGCAATGCAGCTTCAACTTCCGAGTAAGATCTAAATCTTCAAAGCAAACAAGGTGATAAATACTAAATAGCTGCGTTTTCCCGACCATTTTGCTGCTTAATCTGAGGGTGATCGCCTGGATATGGCTTAGTTTTTAAAGCTAGTTTGATTGTGAAAATCACGACAGAGAAAGCAACTTTTATTTGTTTTTCTCCTTCGAAAAAGCCTTAAAGATCCTAGGTCTTGGTCCGGTCGGAAACTGAACTCTAGAGAGAAGTTGAAGTGGATTCTCACCTGTAGCATTATGTCTACAGTGAACAACACCCATAAATATTTATGCAGGCCAAGGCACTAATATGAAGGTGGATCTCAAAAGGGCATGGCCTGCATAAGATGTGCATCTTAGTTTGGCCCCGGCAGTCCCTTTAGCAGTAGTACCCGACGGCGCCGAGGAAGGTTAAGAACTGGCTACTGAAAAGGATAAGCAACGGCAAATTTAGAACACCGTTCTGATTCTCTCAATTAGGTTTCATTTTCGCACACCACACGATATCTTACTGGTTAATCTAAATGTAAAGGAAACTGTACAACAGTCCAGCGGTTTTCCTGAGAACTGACTGCATGTAGTTCCCTTTTTCGGCTTGTCGGTTTGAGACTTTTATCTTTCTTACATTTGGATATTTGAAAGTGCACATAATGAAACAGGTCATCTTATCGTCATGACTGGCCAGGTCACATTCTTGACCACCCAAGTAAATGAACACGTACGGCTGTAGGCTTTGTGGGATTCCTTTCGAGCTCGCGGTGCAATTTTGAACGTTGGCAATAGGTCAGCCCTACCATCGCTCTGGTTGATTCTAACCTCACCGTAGCGACCAAGTTTGGAGCAAAGAAGTTATTTACATGGCTTAACCGCTACATATTCCCATTCAAAAAGCCACAAAAACAACAAATTTAGTCTGGGTCCAAACCGCTAGTAAAAAGCCAGACCGCAAACAAGCCTCTCCGGCTCAATGCTTCTTATATATTACTTGTATATTACTTGGTCTTGTCTGCCTTCAACGGAAATTTAGGTAGCATGCAACCAGAAAGCAAACTTAAAGATTGTCAAATTAATTTTTATCTAGGGGGGTCGGTAGAGTTTTTTCACAATTCGATCAACTAAATTAATTTTTGTTGTGTTGTGAAAATTAAAAAAAAACGCCAATAATGGAAATTCTGGAGGTCTTTGTTAAATGAGTATTCGTGCTGATTCGTGATCCGTGGTTTTATTGCCTCCATGTTGCGCTTAACCTAACTGATTGCGGTTTAATCCAAATGCGTGGGAACATCCTTTGGTTTTTTAATGACCGTGATAGAATATATGGTTTCAGTGCCTTCGCTGGACAAAACGGAATCGCGTCCAGGTAAAACAGTTCACTTTCATTTATCCAAGCAGTCAATTTTTGCAAACTGACTCACTGAATAAATGCAATTCTAGTCATATTTTTGTGAAAACTTTTTCATGGCAAATCGTTGCGTTTGCTTTTCAATACACTTATAGACTAAAATATATTTTACAGAAAGCGTGGGCAAAAATATTCCTTGACCTCCCTTTTCGTGGCAAATAATGCATTCCTTGAATTTTATACTATAAGAAAGGGTACCTTTAGGTTTGCAACAATTTCCTAAAAAAACATATAATTTTGAGTCCTATCAATCTTTACACGTGAATGCGAAGCTTTCAAAATATCTGATGTATACATACTGTTTAAGGTAAAGCAAACATTTCCACACTGTATGAGATAGATTTACCATAATTCCCATAAAATTTGGCAATGGATATGGATGTGGCTCTACACTATATTGGCAACATTAATAAACTGGCGGATGTGGTTTATTATGGATGAACTGTTCCGGGGGGTACAAAATATCATACTTTTAAAAAATAAAAACCAGAACATAGCTTTTTCTGCAGTATAAATAATCAGGCTATAAGCTTATCAGCACTTGAACGCTACCTAAACAATCCGTTCGAAAGTTTGGGTTGAACGTTCATGAGATAGGGGATCTACTGTAATATCTCATCCTATTTTTGGACTGGCTGGGCGCGGGAAGTTAACGCTACATAGCGGAATTTTCGAAATATCTTTTTAAAAATCAGATGGTTTACTGTGTGATAAAATAAATGTTTGTCCACTGTCCTTATTTTTTCTGTTGCTGTGCGACACAATGTGGACTGGGTCCTGCGCAGCGCAAGAAGTGGAAGTATAGCGTTTCATGACACACGTATCCGTCGTGTGCCGATTAGTATTCCCCCTCAGCTTTTTGGAAAAACAGGTGACTGTTTCCATCTTACAACATATGTGCGGCCCAAAACACGCTTTAAAAGTAAGTGGGGTCTTCCCGAGTCAACTTTGGATGGTGCCTACTGACAGAGGCACCGAAGTGAAGTTAGGCTGCTTATGAGTTTTTAACTTAAATACAAGGAAATGTGACATTTCTTTTAAAACTTTCACGCCT